GGGGGATACTGGGTTGCTGCTTTGTAGACAGACCCAGTAAATACTGCTCTCAATTTGCTCTGCACCAGAAGACCACTACTTGAAAAATAGTAGGTATGGATCTTGTATGAGACATATTATGAATCTCAATGAGAGGGCATTCTCTCAACAGCCAAAATGGCCCTGCCTTTTTCTTGATCTCACTGGAGCAGACTCTCTACTCCCATGACAGAGGATAAATGGAGAATGTTTGGGGTCATAGTCAAGACTAGGCTTTGGTTCTTAAATGAGAAAAATGGTGGTATCTTGCTTCTGTATGTGGAGCTTGGTGGACATGACCAAGCCCAGCACCATTCACATTCCTGTGCTTGCAGTTCCTCCTCTGAAGGGGGTTGCACACCTTCCAGCAGGTGTGGTCAGCCTGTGGTCTTCTAGCCAGCAGCTGGCTTGCTGTAACCTGGTCTTGCTCCTTTCTCTGGAAGTGTTGCTGTAGTGGAGAGCCAGGGAAGGCTCTTGGTCCTCTGGGAATGTGAAAACATCTTCACTTATGTGCTGACAGTTTATCTGGGTTGTTAGCACATGGAAAGGAGGAAAAGCAAGCCTATGCAATGGGGCATGACATACAGAGACTTTCCAAAGAGGCCTACCTTTTTCCAGAAAATATGTTAAGATTTTGAATTATTATTATTATTATTTTTTTTTAATGCCAAAGCACATCTTCTTCTGACATGCCCTTTGGAAGTTTTCCCTGTGACATTACGGGTACAGGTAAATCATGATTCTGGACAGAATATACCTCTTGGGAAAAAGCGGAGATTTTCTGCTAGATATGTTTCTGGCTCTTTTCCTGATCACATGCGCATTTAAGTGCCTTCACTTCACGGTATCATAATCCAGAGTGAAGCTATCAGCACTTAGTGCTGGAGGAGGCCGAAAGTCAAATGTCTGTGAGAGGGAAAGCTACAAAATTCATAACAGAATTAAGTTTTACTTGGAAAATATTCTGTGATTGATTTATTTTTTTTTCCCCACTGAATTTTGTAAAAAGATTGTACATTTTTATGCTTGAAAATAATTTTTCTCTGCTTGACAAGAACAACAACTGCCTAACAAAGACATGATGGATGATTGCCAGGCTCCTGCATCTTTCCTGACAGCACCTGGTTATGGCCATTTAGCTTCCATTGTGCATCTGCTGGGCAGCTGTCAGACTGTTGCAGAGCGACAGTTTCAGAGGAGGTTGCTCTGCCTACCCCATACCTCTCACCTGTAGATGAGATCAAAGAAAAGAGAAAAGGGGAAATTAACTCCAAAAAAGCAAAGCCTGAAATTGGACAAAGCTTACACAAGCCAAGTTGTTTAAAGATATAATGAGAGTTTGTAAAGGAAATAAAGGCCAGGGACAAAACTATCAGTGGACACATGCACAGGGCAGCCCAGAGCAGAGGAAGCAGCTCTGACTCCAGACCTGTGCTGCTCCCACAAAGCACCACCAGCTTGAAAAGTCCCCAGCCTGAGTAATACACCTATGAAGAATCAAGAATTACCTATGCTGTCTCTACTGTCTGCAGTGTCTCTATACTGACGTGGTGAAAGAGAGAAAAAATGCTCTGTTTGGTAAGGGATATCTCTGAGTCATCTGCCACATCAAGGTGTGAGAAGATGCATGGTTTTTAAACTCAAATTCTCCTGTAAGATGCAAAGTGCTTTTCCTTTACTTTGTAGTATGCTCTTACCTCCAACAACACCTCAAAATTTATTGCACGAGGATAAGTTTTTTTTTTCTAATTACTTTGTTGGTAATGCAGGACACCCTGTCATGTTATCCTTGGGAAAACTCAAAATCATATATTATTATTATTTTTTTATTCATTAAGTCCAAAGTGTAAGGTGCTCCCAGAATTCTTACAGATGGCAGCAACTTCGGTCAACTTCTAAACTGGATTATGCTTGTACAAGGAAGGAGAGTGATGATGCTGATGTCTGAGGGGCCTGTGAGATCCCTCATGGTGATCTGCTCTGTGGAGAACATGCAGTCACCAAGCCCCTACCCAGTAAATGCACCTCCTAGATGACAGATGTTAATTAAAAGCCAAACCCAGTTTAAAGCCACTTGAGACAATGACTAAACTTGTGTAGAACAGCCTGTTGACACCTGAAAGTGGCTGAGCACAGCCAGCCACCCACATGCTGAGCTGTGATGCTGCCATGGCATGCCTGGCACACTGCTTGGTGTGGTGAGGTGAGGAGGACCCCTGGCAGCCCCTGCATTGGGCTGTGGCCCTCCAGCAAGGACGTTTTGGCTGCACACCCTGATGAGATGCATACTTTGGCTGTGGCTAGCTGGTAGAGGCTCAGCCATCTCAATCTTCCTGTTTTGGATGTTACAGAGTGGGACAGAGGCTCCAGCACTTTGCTACAAGTTGTAGAGGATATTCCTTGGCTCGGGGAATCTGGTGTCAGTGCAGTAAATGACGGTGGGTGTTGTACAAAGCATTTCATGCTATGTCCCTGCTTCCACAACAAGCAGTAGCTGGTAGATGGAAAACATTTTGTTTCTGAGATGAAAGTAATCTGAGTTCTGAGTATATTACAATATCCATGCACTTGAGGTTTGTAATTCAGCCTTCTTCAGGATATTGGAACATCTGTTTAAAAAATGCACGAGAAGAAGGGAATATCTGTTTCAACATTAGTACTGAACATTCTGGGAGTATATGTGCACAGAATTTAATTATCTAAAAGATGAGGACACAAGGGAGGTTCTGAGAGGTTTGGGAGGTTCTGGGAGGTTTAAATACCACTGCTTGGATTCACTTGCTGATCTGTTACCAAATGCACTGATGAAAACTGGAATAAGATAAAATGTGAATGTGACCAATTACCTGTGCTTGTAGACAGAGCCACACATCACTATGCTTCGAGACATAGTTGGCTGTCTTTGAGTGACTGCCCATTTCGAAAGAACACAATAAGGCATTATTTCACAGTGATGGGATGTAGAAGTGGGTGGAGATTATGGATAAGGAGGTCACATCAATAGACAGCCAGCTGATTGCATATTCCTTCTTTAATACCTTGTTTCTAAAACACCACTGGCTTCTGACTGTGTTCACTAATCAACATAGTTTGAGCCACTGGCTTGCAGAAGCTCACAAGGTCACAAATGGAGGTATGTCCTCTCCCCAGATGGGTTTCCTTTTGTTATTATGCTTCTGCGTAGGGGGAACCCTCCCCCAGTTATCAATAGCTGATAGGTAAGCTGATTCTGAGATGTCCATGGACTGTAATCCATCCTTAACTGGTGTTCCTGGAGGGTTTGTTCATGTTTTGTGTATTGCCAGTTCCTCCAGCAATGGCTAACCATGAATACCTCTTCCTTCATGCTCTCCACATTATGGCTTGTGTGTTCTAGTCCACTGTGGAGGCAGGGAAGGCAATGTTTTGGAAATGCAGGACAAAAGTGGAAACAGCTGATGATGACGGGATTCTGGAGTTGTTTTCTTAATTGCAATTAGGACTCTGATGCATTTGCTTGGAAGGTGGGTGTTTTTTGTGTCTGTTTCTGTCCTGAGTCACTTGTATGTCACAGCGATCTCACTCCAGACAAATCAGTGACGGTACTGAAAATAGCACAGTGCTGTTCGTGATGAGGACAAGGAGTGGGCTTTCACAGGGAGGCTGCCCCTCATCTCTGCAGTTACCATGGATGAAGGACAACCCTGGCATCTGGAGTGTCAGAAGATAAATGATATAAATATGTATCTACTTGTTTCTTCTCTCTTCAATGACTGGTGAAGCCATGTAACGCTTTCTTCTTATAAAAACATACTAGGAGGGTACAGCATAGGCGGGAAGGGAAGACGAAACATTGGAATCCAAAATAATGGATTTTGGTGCTTCTGCTCAGGCAGTGTGAATCTGTCAGCTTGTGTTCAAAAAGCACAAGAGGTTTCCACACACAAAGGGCTGCCAAAGAAGAGGGACAGTGACCAGTGGCAGGCTCTTGACTGTCCTGGAGCTGGTGGGTCATCTTCTCCCTGTCACCCTTCAGGAAAGGACACTGCTACAAGCTGAATAAGAACAGTGGAACTACCCAGAAGTACCTACCTTGTGTGTTAAGGCAGGTGAGGGCACAGTAAAAAGGTGGGTGTCCCAACCGGTGTAGCACTGGATATCTGACATCTGTAGTTTGTGCCATGCCTCCTTTCAACTTGGTGGATCTGAGCAGATTTGGTCCTGGAAGAGCAGGCAAGTCCCCATGCCAATATGTAAGGTGCAAGGCAGGCCTACAGCTTAAAACCAGAAAAGGTGCTAGCAACAGCTGGTGTGCTCCACTCAATTCCTGAATTGCATTTATGAAACCTCTTTCCGGATGCTCTGGGTTTTCTGCTAAATTAAACTCAATTGAATTGACCATCCACTATAATCACTTAAACTACAATTAACATTTACTCTAGAAATAAAGGAAAACTTAACAATGAACTCCTCCTTTTTTTTTTTTTTTTTTTTTTTTTTTTTTTTTTTTTTTTTTTTTTTTTTTTTTTTTTAACAGAGATAATTTGCTTTTCTGGGAAATCTCAGTGATCTGTATTGGAAAAAAACACAGAAGCAAATTGTGCAAGACATCCCAAAGGAACACCAGTCCAAGCTTCTGACACACCATGTGCTCAGCGGCTGCAACATATTTTACACAAAACCTATTAGAGAAATGCTCAGTCTTTTTAAAAATAGCATTTTCCCACTATTTTTTTTCATGTGTCTTACTTTCTGAAAGCCAACCCCACCTCCCACCCCCCAGCCAGCTATCTCAATCTGGCAGGGAATAATGGTTTATGGCCAGCAAAATGTTAGCTCAAAATATGTATCAAAACTTTATATGTATGTAATAATATTATGGTTTTAAGGTCTACTAGATTTGTCACCTGAAAAAGTGTCTTCCATTGTGAAAGGTGTTACTTGTTTGTGACAGATTCCTTTCAATTAAAATAGACTCGTAAACTCGTAAGTCATTTAAAGGCTTTTTTTTTTTAAGTCCTAGGCAGAAAAAGAGTTCTAAAGAAAAACATTTGCTTCTTTCATTCACTTCTGGTCTCATCTCTGATTAAGATCTCAGGACCCATCCCAATGCCGATTAGCAACTTGCACGTGGTGGTTTTCTGGACATGGAGTACTGCTTGACTTCTGTAACACTGCGAGGTACTGAAATAGAGCAAAGTAAATCTTGGCAGGTGGTTATTTTGCTTTATATGATTATTAAATATCAGTAATTTGAATCTGCCCAAATCAAATACTGTGTAAGTGGATTAGTGTACAAAGAACAGGTGAGGCAGTCAAAAATCAAGTGATTTGTTGCACTGCTATGCTCTGTGTGCCTTTTGCCTCCATAACCACAAAGAGTATAGCAGGAAGTAATTTCATCTGCACAAATATTGATGCTGTTTTTATATAAATGCATATATAAGTATGTAAACACATTTATCTTTAGTTTTAAATGGATGTATATGTGTTTATCTGTAAATATAAGACATATCTATAATATGGATTGAATGTAAGAAATACATAACCACCAATATTCATGTATTTTTCTATGCCATCACTATTGCTTCAGCCTGGCATACTAGTTTTTTTACGAGGCAAAACATTCTTTTTAATAAACTTTTACTTTACAATTTATACTTAACCCTCAAAAATATATTTGGGAAATTCTGTTGAAGCACAGCCCATTGCGTAAGGGAAAAGCACAGCTCTTGTCTGAAACAAAGTTTTTGGTGCATTTTGTTGAACTGGGAATTGTATCCCAGTGAGTGGTGACCAAAACTTCACATTCCGGACATAGCAAACCTTCCCGTTTGTGGCAGAGGCAAGGAAAAAAACAAGAGGGAATCAGGGGAAATAGCTTCAAACTAGAACAAATTGCTGGATAACTCTGCTGTCAAAAGGTCACATTCTTTCCTTAGGCAAACCTGCACAACTTTGCTTAGGTCAGAAGAAGGAGTATGAGGAAGAGGAAAGCATACCAAGGAAATAATCCTTCCTGTATGACCTCTGGGTGCTGCTGCTTGACCTGAGTGCAGCACAGATGAAGAGAAGAACTGGAAGGAACACACACAGCTTAAAATTTATCAAAATGTTGATTGGAAAGGACCTCTCAAGCTCATCCAGTTCAGCTGCCTGCTTAAAGCAGGACTACCACTGGTATTAGGTTAGGTTGGCTTTCTCCAGCCAAGCCTTGAGGACTGCCTGAGATGGAGACATCAAACCCTGGCCCTGTAGCATGTTCCAGTGCTACCTGACTTTCTCAGTTGAGAAAGCTTTCCTAATGTCCTACCTTGAACCTTCCAAGCTATGATTTTTTTATTTTTTTTTTATTATTATTTTTTTATTTTTTATTTTTCTGTTGCCCATTGTTGTACTGTCTGTCACCACTAAAAAGTTTGACTCCATCATCTTGGTAGGTGTCCTTCAAGTAGGTTGCACTTTAGCCCTCTTCTGAAAATGACTGTTGAAGGTGACTGCAGAAAGCAGTCATGGGACTGCTCTGCCAGCCTTGGGAATGATCTTTCCTCCCAGCAGGCATTTGCTGCAGCTGAGCTTTTCTGAGGTGGTGCTCATAAGTCAAAGGTAAATGGCTGGGAGGTTACAAACATAGAGGAAAATCATAAAATGGAAGATGACAGAAAATGAATCTGTTGTGTGAGTACAGAGAAGAGCGTTGCTACTCTATATCAAAATATGTGCTACAAGTATGGTAACATAGACTTCAGCATGAAATATTATGTCTACTGTCTAACAATCCATATCTTGCTGGTACACTGCAGTCTACACCTATAACTACTCTTTTCAGGATGATCCTCTTGCATTCAGCAACCTATGCCCATGCTGTTACAGTTTCTTATCTTCCAGATAGAGACTGCATCTAAATTCCCTGTTGGGAATGGATCCTGCCTTATCCTAAGTCTCAAATCAGTCTATGGAGAAGGTTATTTGGCAGGGGCCCGAGCCAGGCCAGTGACTTCTAACAGCAAAGATGAATAAGTTCTGATGTTTGGGAGTACTCCCTCGCACTGTTTAATGTCTAGACATGGCCTCAGTGTCTAGTTTGGTTGACAGAAGCATTCTTTGTTTCCTGTGCTGTGGTTGTCTTAACATAGGGTTTGTTTTTTTGTAACAGCTTGAGGTCTCCTTCTTGTCTATATTAAAAGCCAAGGTCTGGCAGGATGTTTGGTGATTTAAATGTGGACCCTTGTTAGTGGAGATCTCTTTTGCTGTAAGGAACTGTAAGTCATGATGAAAGCAGGGTTGCATTTAAACTGGGCTCACCTGCCCCATGGGTGCACATGTAATTGGAAATGAAGGATGGCTGGCCTCAACAGATGGGACCACAGCAGCTGACTTCTTCCAGGAAGATCTATCAAAGACCTGTCAGTGGGCAAAATGGTAAGACATTGCCAGGAGTTATCCGACTCAGCTGTGCCTTCTCCAAACTAATTGTACTCCCTCTGCAGTCAATGCACCTCCAGGGGGTGGTTCGCCATCCTCCAAAAGGCGTCTAAAAGAGACAGAATGAGTTGTCCTCTGAAAATACCCAATTTTCTCCATCATCTGCAAAGAAAGCTTTAAAATGACATGCTTAAACTAGCCACTTAACTTCTGGAGTGCTAGCTTTAGGTGAGGCAGATCTCTCCCATCTGAACTGGATGAATACCAAAGAAAATATTTGCAAACAAAGATTTGCAAACTTGTATTGGCTTTCAGAACCTCTTTTATCTGGTTTCCATAAACAATATTTGTAGTCATATTTTATATGAGAATATTTTACAAGCAAATGCACTATTGTGGTGAAAATACTTGCATGATCCCTGCCAAACTGCAGGTGAAAGCTTGGCAGCTGGGGAGGTTTGCAAGCTCTGTTGCTAGATATAAAAATTGGCTTCAGTTTTACCCCCTGAAGATCTCTGGAATTTTTACCATCCGAGTCAGGGAGGAGGAAAACCATTGTGTGTCTCTGAAGGCCAGTCTCTCACTGCAACTTGCACGTAGTGAATTCTTAAGTCACTACCCACAGCGAACAGGCTGACATTTGCTTGTGGAAAATATTTGCTGGGTCATTACGGATAACACGCCATTTTCTAAAAATCTATGCCCTCTTTCTGATTGCTACTCAAGCAGAAAAGGCTAGCTTAGTTAGATATGTGCAAGTGGCTCACCTCACTTTTGTTCTTGCTAACCTTGATTCTGCCTGATTTAGTTACTAGGAAAAGATGACTACTTCATCTCTGAAGCCATCTGTCCTTACTCCTCCGGATAATATTTTTATTAACGCTCTTTATTTTATTCCATTTTATTGCATTTGATTTTATTGCATTTTATTGAATTTAAAATCTGTCAGAGTGATTGTTCTCTTTGTAAAATGGATCATTGCATTTTCAAAATTTAATACCTGCACCGTCCACACACAGTCTGGAATTTAAAGCAGCTTTCTGTAATCTGTGCTAGTAGATATAATTTTCATGACTTCTGAATGGATGGTGGTGTTGAAATAAACTAGGAAACGTAATTGCTTCCAATACCACTACCATTGCATATGTACTTTGCTGAAACTAGTTAGTGTTAATATCTATCTGTTTTCATTATGCCCTTATTGCATTGATGAAAATAGCTCAACTCATAAATGACATTACAACCATCAGTGTTAGAATCAGTTTAGAGAAGGGATTTAATTTCCCTGGTGGAAAAAAAAAAAAAAAAAAAAAGGAAAAAGAAAAAACACGACAGTCTCTGAACTTCTGAATGCTTTTAAGCTGCTATTGAGAAAGCAAATACCAAATCCATACATAATCCTGCTCTGAGTTGTCAAAGCTTCCCTTCTTTCTCCTTCCTTTCTGTGACCAATCTTGCTTTCTTTTGCGGCATGTTATACCTTTCTCAGCTAAGATCTTGTAAGCTTTTACGGAAATTTTCTTAGGTATGTTTTCTTGGAGTGGTGAATTTTATCCTGGTGAAACATAATGTAAAAAAAGCTTTTTACCAATACCTGAAAATATGTATTATTATTTTATAAGATCTGATGAGATGCTGGTCTTGTGTCCTGTTCATTCTTAAGCAGTCCGTGCTGACAGCTGTCCTGGTTAATTTGGGGGTTGGATCTGTTACTTCTTTCAGGACTTATATCTTCAAAACACATTTCATCAAAAAGATTTCCACTGTTTTCTAGCAAATTAAAATTGTGTTAAATTATTCAGCCACAAATTTCTTCATCAAAGTCTGTCTGGGGTCCTTCCTCTCTTCCCTATCCCTTCCAAATCCATCTCCTTGTCATCCCTGCTTCCTCTTTTCCTCAAGGCTCCATCAACCAGGTGCATGCCAAAGGCTTGTTCTATGGAGCTACACACTTGGTGTTCAAACTGCCGTGGCAGTACTTCTCAAACCGTGGGAGGAGAAAGCAAGTGGTTGAGCGTATCTCATGGATTAAAAAGAATATCTCTGAGAGCTGTTGACAGAGGACATTGTAGTCTTCCAGCAACTAATCTGCAGTTGAGACAGATAAAAAGACATAAAAGCTTCATGCTTTTATTTTTTGCCAAGTGTTTCCTTTTACTTAATATGCATCATTGCTACTTTGGGGAAAAAAAAAAAAAAAAGCAAACATCAACAAGCAAGACTCAGAATAGCAATTTCACAATATTTAAGGCTTTAGTGGCAATCCTTGCTTAGGCAGTTCCCTCCCAGCCACTCCTTCTCTCATCAAAGTTTGCCTCCCTTTTTGTCATTTTCATCTATAAAAGAAAGAAAAAGAAAAAAAAAAGAAAAAAAAGTCAAAGAGATCATAGTTTAACCTGGATTATGTCATTCATCCAGGGCATCACATCGCTTTACAAACAGTTGTGTTGGCACAACCGAGAGGTCAGAGAACTGAGTTGCAAAGGCAGGAGAAGGGAGAGGGGAATTTCTTAAGCGGATACTGCCGCCAAAACCAAATTATTGTGAAACTGCGCTGTCACATTCCAAAAAAACACTTTCTCCTAAACCTTATGAGACTATAGCAAATGGTGAATATTGGTGGAGAAGACCCCTTTGGACCAGGCTGAATGTTGTTTAAAGCCTGCTGGTAGCTGCAAAGTGGACCAGGATTGTGAACACCTCTCACAAGCCTCGGCCGTTGGTGGTCATTCAGTGCTGAATAAGACAACATGAATCCTGACCCCTTCAGAGCAAAACCATGGCTCACACAGCCCAGTTGAACCCTTACAAAACTGAAAAGAGTGAATTATATTCTTGAATACACACACGACCACCCAAGTGAGGTATTCCCACTGGTTTGAGCTGTGCAAATGAGGCCAACATCTGACCATAACAGCGTAAGAACTGCCAGCGTATCCAATTAGCAGGATAAAAGTAAGTGCCCTCCTGGCTTACTAATTATTTTCAGAATACACAGTGTGATGGAAACCCTTCCAAAAATCAAATCTGTCTTACAGCAGTTTGACTTACAGGCGGTGCAGAATGGAGTGTTTCTAAGTGCATTGCAATTAATTATGCTTTCAAATGCACTGACTAAATTCAGCTTTGCAATTAGATAAATAATAACTGAGAGGAAAGGTTGTATTTTGGAGTTACATGTCGCAGTAGATGAATACGCCTTTTGCCCCAGCTGTTTGTGCCTGTGTCATGGCAGACGTCTTGCTGTGAAGCCCTGTCTGTTGCAGATGAAATGCCTGTACAAAAGCAGCTTCCACGTCCATTTAAATGCGCAAGAGCCATACTCATGCAGTCAGCACAAGATCCTCTTTTAATTTCTTTGCATATCTGCCTCGATTATCAAAGAGGATGACATTTCATCAAAACTACAACCAAACTGGTAACATCAAAGAGCCTGACTTGGCAGCCTCCACCTTTTTTCAGGCAATATTGACTCAGGTAGTGGATGTCACTGATTTCAGTCCAGGTGTGCCAAAGTGACAAATTGGAATCCACATGCCAGAGCCCTCCATGCTGAGCAAATGGGTAAAGGTGACTGACACACACACAAAACATTGCTTTTTCTTTTTCTGCCTTCAAATTACCCGTCCATTAATTGTGCAATTCTTAAATACAGCCAATATTAAAAAATGTCCCACAGCTGTTCAACAAGCGGCTTTGAAAATACAAATTGAAATTATTGGTTTAGCTCACAAGGATCTAAGCACTCATGGTAGGAGTGTATCCTTGGCTAAAGGGGAAACCACAGTGATGGGAAACAATGTCCCTATCACTGGAACTTTCGTTTGTGGATTCCCACAGGAATGATTCCTTTTCTTACCTCTTTTTAATACTCGTGACCACCCATAAGGTGAAGTGCTTCATTAATATTAATT